TCACCTCTGCAGAAGGCCTGAGTCCGGCCAGCACGGGGCCCCAAGAATGTGGTGCTAGAACTCTTCCACCAATGCCTGCCTGGTGCCCAGGGACAAGTCACTTAACTCTCGATGCCTCATTTTCCCTCCCTGTGAGACAGGATAATAGGACCCACCCCATAGCATTGTCGTGAAGGCTCATTGTCAAGGACCGGGGATGTTGTCTGGCACGTAGGAAACACCTGCTACTTGGGGGCCATTGTTATGATTTGGGGGAATACAGAATGATCGCTTTCTGACCGCCTGCATGTACCAGGCAGCCCGGGAGGCACCTTGAGACCTGAGCTCAAAGCCTCCCAGCAGTCCCGCGAGGAGGGGTGGGGATGCTCGTGAGGAGAGGCATTCAGACGTGGGCTAAGTGACTTGTCGAAGGCTGTGTGCCAGTGAGCAGCCAGGCTTGAGTCAAAGCCAGGTTTATTTGCCAGATTCCCAAACCCAGACCGTCCCTGGCCCTGCTGGAACTGGGCAGAGGTGTGGCTGCCCGGAGCTTGCTCTGGGTGAGACCGTGTCTGGTGCAGCCCTGGAGGGCGGCCAAGAGGACGGGGCGCGGCCCCGAGGACAAACCCCACGTTACTGAAATGCCGCATGTGCCCCCCCCCGCACCCCGGTCTGCGTGGCTGTCTCTGTTTTGTGATTTCGATCTCGGCTTAAATGCTACCTCCTCGGAGAGGAGGGCATTTCTTCTGATGCCCGTTCTGAGGCTTGCCTCCTCCCTCCCAACCCCTGTGTTGTTTGGTTGGTTTGTGTCAAGGACCAGAGAGTCTGGACAGCAGACTGAATCCTGGGTCTGCCCCTTCCTAGCGAGTGAGCCCGGGCACGTGCTTGACCCCTTCCCACGCCTGTTTCCTCCTCTGTCAAGTGGGGATGTGTGGCCCAGCCTGGCCTCCTTTCTCCAGGGGCCCCTGAGAGGACGCAGGAATACGGGGTGGAAAAGCATCCTGGAATGGCGGAGTGTGGTTCGGAGGTGGCCTGATGGCTTTATGATGTCAGAAGACAGCTCTGGCCCCGGTGAGTGCCAAGGGAGTGTGAGCAAGGCCCAGTCACTTGCCCAAAAGGAATACTTTTTCCTTTTAAGGCAATGAGCTAGATATTTATATATTGAATTTTAGGGTCTGATTAAAACCGACCACTGAATGCATTTGTCTGGAAATCAAGTCCCCAGCTTTGCTTTCCAGCCTGTCGTACCTCTCTACACCCCACCTCACTCCACGCTTCTCTGAGCCCTTCTGCAAATGTTCACTGAGCATTTGCTGTGGTGCGCCCCTGGCCAGGTGCCGGGAAAACCGTGGTAAGTAAGGAAAAGCAGACCCATTGTGTACCACCACATGCCGATGGCGGGGGAGACAGACGGGAAGGACAGGATCAAAGACATAAGGCTAAAATCCCAACCAGGGAGGCTTGAGGGCCATGGTGTGGGGGGTGCGTGACCAAGTGAAGAAGGTCAGTAACAATGAGCTAAGGTCTGAAAAAATGGTGCAGAGAAAAGCAATCCAGGCAGAGGGACCATGTGTGAAGGCACCTTGTGCTCAGGAAGAACAGCAAGAACTCTCCCTCCAGCCTGCCTCCTGCACTTCCCTCCCCTGGGACACCTTTCTCCCTACATGATTCCATCTCTGTTTCTTACAAGTGTCTCCATTCTCCAGAGTCAAACTCAAATACTTCTTCTTCCAGGAAGCCTTCCAAGATTTGCCATTCTCCCATTCTCCAGGAAGCAATGATCTCTTCTGCTTGTGATCTCTCTCCCCTCCCTTCTACCTCCTTGGGCCCTCATTCATGCCACAGCATTGTAGATGCTGTGTTGTGTCTCATCTTCCCAACCAGGTCATAAAGTGTCAAGGGCAAGAACTGCCTCTTCTCCAGTGTAGACTTACAGTCCCATAGTGCTGTGTTTAAATCCCAGTTGAGAACACTTAGTGGTGGCTCTACCTCTCTGGGCCTCTGTTTCCTCATCTGGTAAAGGGGAATAAGGTGGTGAGGGCATGGTGTCGTTGCATGGTCCCCAGCTGGGCTCTGACCATCTGAGAAAGAGTTAGCTTGTCTAGGGGCTTGAAACAAAGAGGAGGGAGAAAGGGTATTTATGACCCAGAAAGCCTCAGGGCTTTGAGGGCATACACAGGCTTAGATCCGAGTTTCCAAAATCTGTCCAATAGTAAGAAACACTTGGGCCCCTCATTAAACATGCAGATGCCCAGGGCCCACTCCTGGAATTCGGATTCCACAGGTCTGGGGCGGGGTCCAGGAACCTATGTTCTGGAGAAGCTCTCACAGGGTTCTGATGCACAGTGTGGTGGAAAAATTGAGGCCCTGAGGGAGGCAGTGCTTTCCATGAGTGTGATGGGTTGGATCAGTTTTCTCGGTTTCGCCTCTTGGAACAGGATTATGTACTGACACCCCTTGCCAAGTCACTCTGCAGGGTTCATTTGCTGTGTGTGACTGCGCCACAGGCATTGGAGAGAAGTGTTTGTGTGTCATGGCTTGGCGCGGTTGCTGGCGCTCCCAACATTCACCATGACAGAAACAAGCCTGGGTGGTGGCGGGTCCAAGGGGAATGGGAGACATGTGGAACAGACTGAAGCCAACCCACATTCTGGAGTCCTGCCCAGCTCAGTGAGCCCTGCTGCAGATTAGCTAAACCTTAGCTGCCCCACAGATGAGTGAGTGAGAAAATAAATATTTATTGTTGTAAACTACTAAGGTTTGGGGTGGTTTTGTTATGCAGCATTACCGTAGTGATAGCTGACTGATACACTGAGGTCCCACAGCAAATGAATGGCAAAGTTGGGATTCAAACTCAGGTCTGAATCCAGTGCTTGTTTTTCATTGCTTCTGTCTTTCAATCCTGAGGCTCCCCCCACACCCCACACTTTCCTTTCTGGAAGCCCCTCACTTCCACTCTGCCTCATCTTTATTCTCTGGGAACATCCAGCTCTAGAAAGGAAGGCTCCAGCTTGTCAAGCAGCCCAGACTCTACCCCATGCTGCTAATAAGCTGAGGTTTCTTGAGTAGACAGTTCTACCCCCTCAGAACTTCTACATGGGTGCAGAAGAGGTCCCTAGAGCCAGAGAAAGAACTCCCACCCCCCACACCCCCTAGACCCTGGGAGAGGAGTAGGAAGCCTAGGCTTCCCTACCTCAGGGCCCTGGCAAGCTGGAGAGCCTCCCAGCTGAGGCTTCGTAATCTGTTAGGTGTCTTTGCCAACTGTTGGCTTCGGAGGGTTCTCTTGCATTGCCTGCCTTGAGTCAACTCCCTCCGGACCTCACTCTGAGCGGGGGCTTAAACGTACCCACGACCCTGCACAAACAGCAGGCACACGCTCACAACTATGTCCTCTCCGCCACAGCAATACCGCAAACACTCAGGAACAAAATCACACTCCTTCTCGTACACAAACACATGGATAGGCAGGGCCACGTTCAGACACATGAATTCATGCTCCAACACATCCCATTCCAAGCCCCTCGGCTTCAGACACACCCATGCTCTTGAATGCATTTATAAATAAGAAGCCACATGGCCACAGAACATGCGATCCCAATCATAAACACATGGTCACCCAAACACATAGGTGACACACCCACACATTGTTACGAATGAGCTCACCCACACACACCATCAGACCCACAGTCTCACCTCAAGGTTCCTTGAACATATGCTGGATTGTGCCCAAGCACTGGAATCTGGTAGACCTGTCCCTTACCCTTCCTGCTTTGTGACTCAACTTTTCTGAGCATCATCTGTAAAATGGGGACATGGATGCCTCCTACTCAAGGAGGCCAGGGGTATGCAATGAGGTCATGTATAGATAACACCCCTCAACCAGGTGAAGCTGGTTGGCCCCTCTCCTTCCGTGTCCTTGTTCACGTGCTTTCTCACTCTCAAAAGACATTTCTTTCTATCACTCCCATAAACATTTCACTGGTCCTTTAAACTTCAGGCCAAATCCTGCTTCCTCCAGGAAGCCTTCCTAGACTTCCATCTCTGGATTCCCGGAGCACTTACGGTGTGGGTCCCACTTGACATCTGAAAGACGAGGTGGGTGGCCCACTCACCCTCTCTCCTGGAGTCTGGCCTCCCTTGGCTCTTCCTTGGACAGGGTCCAGACCATGCCCACAGCAGGGGCTTGCCAAGGGTTGTTGAGTGAATAACTGAGGGGCACACTCCAAAGGTACCATGAGGTCCTTGAAAATCTCATGTGGCCCTTGGCTGGGGATGAGCCTGGGAAGTGTCACAGGAGACCCAGGGGACGGTGGTCTTGCTGGAGAGAAGGGGTCAGAAGCCTAAGAGGTGTGACTGAAGAGGGATGACAGTAGTAGTGAGACTGCAATGTTTGGCAACTTTATTTGCCATGAAGGAAGTAGGGCAGAAGATGGAGGGCAATGTAAGGTCCCAGAAAGGATGAGGAAAGATGAGCTGAGGGAGAAAAGCTTGTCAGAGTGGAAGTGGGGTGGGCTGAAGGCTTCCAGAAGGCACCTATGGAAACTGCTGGATATCTACTGACCATCTCCCCACCGCCACCTGGAGAGGACCACATGGCCCAGTCTCCTTTGTGGCCTGGCGAGGTCACATGACCAGGTTCTTTCCAGGGGATGGTGCACAAAAGGGATAGGTCCTCTCTCTCCCACCCTTCCTGCAGACAGACACACCTGGTGTCTCAGGGTGGCTGACACCAATGGAAGAACCTGGATCCCTGCGTCTCCAAGTGGATCTGACCTGCCCACAGGCCTGGACTGCTCACCTCTGTCAGAGGGAGCCTTCAACAGTGCACCCTGAGGTGCACAAACGACAGCAATTGCCATGACCACATGTCAAGGCAGGGGTAACGCGTCCTCTCCCAGGCGAGCGCAGCCTCGGAGCCGTGGGAGCCACTCCACAGAGGGGACGGAGGCCCTGACCGGGGCCGGCAGGGTACCCATTCGGGTTCATGGCCCTGCTCCCCCTTAGCGGGCATCTGAAGCACTTACCTGCCTGGTTGGTGGTGATGTTCACGGAGGCGAACTGAGGTGAGAAGGGGCTCTGGTCGGTGACGCCGTTCACGGCCTGGATCTCGAAGGTATACTGCGTGTGGGCCAGCAGGTCGCTGATGTAGATGCGTGGCTCGGTCAGGCCCAGCTGGCGCGGCGCATACTGCACGTTGTCCCCACAGCGCGTGCAGGCACCCCGGCCCGAGCCACAGCTCTTGCAGATGATGTTGTAGACCAGGTCCTCACGGCCCCCTGAGTCGCGGGGCGGGGTCCACTCCAGCATGAGGGAGGTCTCGTTGACGCTGGAGATCACCGCCTGGGGCGCGGAGGGGATGGCTGCGGGTGGGGAGAGGTGTCGGTCAGTCGGGGCTGCGGAGGTCCGTTCCCAGGAGACGGCTCTCTATCCCCTGCCCTGGCTCCAGCCCAGGGCCCCCAAGGCTTCCTTCAAATCCCTTCTCCTCTCCATCTTCCTGTGGGATGCTTCTAGAATATAACTCTCATCATGCTGCACATCTGCTTAACACTCTCCCCCTGGCCTCCAGCCTCCTCGGTGTCTGTTACAAGGGCTGGTGTTCGTGTGTTGGGGGTCATACCCACCCAAGATCTCTTTCCCCTTCTTTCTTCTAACAAAACCCAATTTTATTCAGGGTGGCAAGATGTCCAGCTAGAAGGCTAATTTCCTAGCCTCCTGTGAGGAAGGGCTGGCCACTGACACACTGTAGAAGTTGTCGGTCAGGACTTTTTCTTAAAAGGAGACCGCTATAAAATGTCCCTTTGTCCCTTTCCTTCTTCCTCTTTCTAGAAGGTGTGTGATGGCCAGAGTTTCAGCAGCAATGTTGGACTATGCAGCAATCCAAAGGGTAGGAACCTCACATGGAGGATGGCAGCCCAGAAAGAGCGAGCCAGGTCCCAGAGAACTCCATAGATTTGCCACAATCTCCAGGACTGCCTCTCTTTGGGGTTCTGCTATGTGAGAGAATAAAGTCCTATGGTTTAAGCCACTGGGGTTGGCTCTCTGGAGCTTACAGCTGAATTTTGTTCCTGTCTGTACAGGGGTGGTAAGATCGCCCTCCTCGTCACTCCTTTCTTAGAGAACCTTGGCCTGAGATTCAGGCGGCTGATGCCAGGTTAGAACACTGGGCAACCTTTTCTGTCACAGACACCACCTGTGTTGGTTCTCCTTCTGCCAAGCCTCCCACTCACCGTCCCTTTGTGAATCGAGACCTTGACTTCATCCTCCACGTGACTGGCAGGAGGAGGGATGGAGCCAGATGCCAGCTCCACGGTCGCTGTGTGTTGGCAGCACAAGGACCCCAGGATGGTCCTTTTCCAACCAGTTTTTCATTTCCCCTCCCGCCAGGTGCCTGGCCGCTCCCCGAGCAGGAGAGGCTGGCTGGAGCCAGGCCACCGCCCACCCCTTGCTCCAAGCTTTCCGCAGCGGAGCTCGGGACGCAGGGGGCCCTCGCACACTCCCGGGGCCCCGAGCGTACTTGTACACGGCATGTCGAGGGGGTCCAGGTCGGCTCGGTAGTAGCCGTTCCGGCACACACAGTTGGTCGCCCCCTCTGAGGTGGTCCGGCTGTTGATGGGACAGTGCGTGCAGGCCTCGTCCCCCTGGTTGGCCTTGAAGGTTCCAGATGGGCAACCTGGGAGAAAAGACAAGGAGAGTCTGGGGAATCCAGATGAGGAGTCGGGGGCCACAAGGCATGGGGAGACTGTGTGGTCTCTCCGAGGGGCTGCACGGCATCACGGAGGGGCCATGCAGGGCAACTGTTGGGAATTCCCATCTCCTAAGGCTCTTGGGGGTCTCCAGACTCCAACAGGGCAGTCCTATCTGTGCCCAGAAGGTTCCAGGCTGCCTGGTTTCTTGTCTCTGAAGCTGTCTATGGCTTCATCAGGGGCCGCTAACAATCCTTCTTCCCCTTTCCCAGGCTGGCTGTGACACCACTTCTAAGGTCATTCCTGACTTATTCTGAAGACTCTGAAGAGGTCTGGGGCAGGACCCAGGGCCCAGTCTTGCTCACTGATGGCTGACTGAGTCCTGATTCTTGTAACTAGATCCCCAGCTTCCAGAGAATCATGATGATTACGTTACAGCAGAAAAGTCCTAGCACAGCGCAGGCCACATAGAAACGTGATGGAGTACAGCCAAAAAGAACACTGTCTTTGGAAGTAGACCTGGGTTGGAGCCCCAGCTTGGCCTTGGGCTAGCCGTGGGGCCGTAGACAAGCCGGCTAAACCATGCTTAGAATCAGTTTCCTTATTTGTAAAATTATGATCCTAAGACCCATTTCTGAAGGCCACTGGGGGAATTTGGTCCCGTGTGTAAGGCACATGGCAGGAGGTCTGGCACAGTATAGGGGGTGAATAGTGGCTGTTATTACAGAAGGGGTTGGACCAATTTATTCCACCAAAGGGAGCCTGCAGTACCAGGGACAGCCTGCAGAGGGAAGTGTTTGCACTTGATGGGGCATTGGGCAATCTGGGCTGTTGCAGGGGCTTTGGCCTTCTTCCCTGCTCTGGCGGGATGCTCAGGATGTGGGTTCAGGCCCTGCAGCTCAGGGCTTAGGTTCTACAAACAATGACCAGACCTGTGTGCAAATCCACACTACCCTAGCCCTGGGCTGGGCATCAGGAGACCCGGGGTCCAGGCCCTGCCCTTTTCCTGGCTTCTGTTTTTTCTGCTTCCTGGGGTTCATCATCCCAGCACTGCTGTGGAGCCTGGGGAGGGGAGATCACGTAAGGGGTAAGCGAGAAGGCAGACAGGGAAGAGCTTTGCAACAGGCAAGTTCCTCGTTGGGGTCAAAGGTGGCTCAAGCGAGTACAGGCTAGGGGCGCTCGCCTAGATCACATTCCAGGCCTGTGTCACCTGTGGCAAGCGACTCCACCCCTCGGAGCACCCATCTCCTCCCATGTAAATGGCGAACATCAATTTCCCTAAATTATTTTTCCAGCCCTGATCTTTAAGCTTATCCTCCATGTTCAAATCTTAGCAAACGGCCCTCCCCTCGGCCCCTCTACCAGCTTCAGCCTCAGAGACCCCCGCCCTCCTTGGTGCTTACATGACTCGAGTTCAGAAAGCTTTACTCCTCTGCCACAATTATTCATCAGGGGGGTCTCCTGGCCATGCTCGTGGCCCCCTCAGGACAGGAGGCATGTCTGATTCACAGTTCCTTCCCCTGTGCCCAGCGCAGAGCCTGGCCGGCACTCAGCACACATCTTGAAGCTGCCTGCTAACGTGGGAAGGGCTTGGGCTTTGGGGACCACGAGAGCAGAAAGGCAGTGAAGACTGCTGGTTAGTGCGCCAGTGGCTTGGCAAGTCCCAGCTCTGCCTGTGCCAGCGTGTGACCTTGGGCCAGTCGCTAGAGCTATTTCCTCATCTGCAAAATGGGGACAATAGTATTTATCTCCAATTGTTGCGAGGACTATGTTGGTTAAATTTAGGCAAAAGTGCCTAGAACAGTTCCGGGCATTACTGAACTGTATCCGGTTCAAATACCAGGCTGCTGGGTGACCTCAGACAAATAGTTCAACCTCTCTGGGCTGAAGTTTTCTCACTGGGATGACAGCATCTAACCCATCAAGTGGCCACGAGGACTCCACGTGAGGGATGGTGTCTGGCATGGGGCGGGGAGAGGCTACAGTCATAATCTCAGGGCTTGCTGGATAAAACAAGTACTCAGTACATATGCCCCGGACATTTCCCCCCGGGACACTAGAAAACACCGTGGTGCCTTAGTTTACCCGCGTTTTGGAGGCGGCCTCCAGAAGGCGGCAGCCAACTTGACAAAGACACTAGCTGATGCCCCCTTCCCAGGCCCCATGGGGATCTCGGGTCCAGCTCCAGTCCCGTCCTTAAGGAACTGGCGGCAAGAGCAGGGTCAGGACTAACCACCCAGGCTCTCAGGATGCCAAGGAGGACGGCGACGAGCGCTCTGGGGCTTATTAAGCCTTCCACTGCACAGATGGGGAAACCAGGGCTTCAGAGTGTAAATATGAAACCGCCAACACTTATTGAGTTTGTATGAAATCCTGGCACCTTTCTAAGGACTTGACCCCTAGTAACCCACCTAGTCCCTACCCAGCCCCGTGATGGAGGGAAGGTTATTGCTCCCATTTTCAGACGGGGGCGTGAAGGCACAGAGATAGAATTCGTTTGCTAGGATATGAGCTTACAGTGGCTCCGTCTCCAGTGGTCTGACCCTCAAGGCTTCCCTAACCACCACACTACATGGCCCTGTGCAACCTGCGTTCTTCTCAATGGTCCATGAGTGCTGAGAGGGGATTGGCAGCTCTAGTTCTGGGGGCCTGCCCAGGGCTCTCGCCACTTTGCTGCACTCGTTTGGGGGTCCTGAGTGTTCCTGCCCTGCGTCTTCTCACTTTCTTCTCAGGCATCAAACCCTCCCTGCTGGACGGCTGAAGAGGCAGCCCACCATCTTGGCACAATCCGGGCTGCAGCTCTAGCTCGAGTTAAGCAGCTGATCTCTGTGCCTCAGTTGGTTCTCCTGTAGAATGGGGGTACAGGGCTCCTGTGGGGATCTAGGATCATCTTAAGAGATGCCAAAAGGTTTTGGTCCTAAGATCAGGACCCCCCCCCTGGCTCCCTCTCAGGGGAGAGCCTGCCTAGCTTAGCTCATTTCTTCCATTTGCTGGCAATTCCCTGGGCCCAGCTAGTGGGTGGCTGTCCACTCTGCCCTCCGTGCCGTGCCAGCCCCTCCATCTGGGCCTCCTTCCTGGCTGTCCTCTCCTGTCACCATGTCTTGGCCCCATCTCAGACTCCTCAGGCTGCCTCCTCCAGAAGCCTTCCCTCATTAGATGTGCTGCCGGCCACCCTCTACCCTCTCCCTGAGTGTCTATGTTTTCTTGATCTATCAGCACAGTGCTCCCCGAAAACCACTCTTTCATCTGGGAAGGTGAAATCATTCTCCACCCAGTCACCAGGAACCCCGGATACCTCCTCCCTACCCTCACCCCCTGCTGCCAATTACCAGGTCTTCCCCCCCTTCCCCTAGCTGTGCCCCATTCTGGCTCTTCTCCACTGCGGTTCTACCCCTGCGGGCATCCAGAAAGCTCTTCCTACCGACTCCTTAGCCTTGCGTGACCATCTCGCCTCCTCCTACCCATCCCCCCACCCCAGCCAGCTTTCTAAAGCACACACCTTTCTGTGTCACTTAAAAACCCACAATGGCACACAATGGAATATTATTCGGCCATAAAAAGGAATAAAGAAGGGCTACGCGCCACAACATGGATGAACCTCGACGACATTGTGCTTATGAAAGAAGCCAGACACAAAAGGCTACACAGTGTGTGCTTCCATTTATAGAACAGTGTCCAGCAGAGCCGTCGATACAGACAGGAGTAGGTTAGTGATTGCCAAGGACCGGGGAGAGCAGAGAATGGGAGGTGACGGCTAATGGGTAACAGGGTTTCTTTTTGAGGTGATGAACATGTTCTAAAATTGTGGTCATGGCTGCAATTCTGGGCATACACTAAAAATCACTGAATTGTACAACTTAAATAGCTGAATTCTATAGAACGTGAACGATGTCACAATACAACAGCTGTTTTAAAAAAAATCTGCAACAGCGCTCCAAATGCCTCAGAGCCTCCAGAACCCCAGCGCGGACGCCTGCCCCTCTCCCAGTGCCCACCACCCCCAGCCTCATGCCTGCTGCTCCACACCGTCGACTACGTATGGTCCCTGCCCAGGTCCAGCTCCTCTGTCCGTCCTGCCCTCACTCCCATTGTCATCAAACTCCTACGACACTTTAAGACTTGGCGCAGGTACCACCTCTTCCAGGAAGCCTTCCCTAAGCCACCATCCAGGTGCCTATTTTATTTATTTATTTATTTATTTATTTATTTATTTTTAAAGATTTTATTTTTATTTTTTTTGACAGAGAGAAATCACAAGTAGGCAGAGAGGCAAGCAGAGAGAGAGAGAGGAGGAAGCAGGCTCCCTGCAGAGCAGAGAGTCCGATGTGGGGCTCGATCCCAGGACCCTGAGATCATGACCTGAGCTGAAGGCAGAGGCTTAACCCACTGAGCCACCCAGGCGCCCCAGGTGCCTATTTTAATTACTTACTCGTGAATCTGTAAGTGCCCGGCTGGACCTTCGGTTCCCAGCAGGATGCCGGGTACCCGGTGGGTGAGGAGCTGGAAGAGTGTCCAGCTCAACCACCTCGTGTGATATTTGAGGAAATGGAGGCGCAGAGAGGACCAGACACACCTGGCTCTTTGGCAGCAGAGGCTGATTCTGATCCCGGGTATCCCGTGTGACTGTGGGGTGTGAGGGGCCTCCGCTTTGGCCAGCCACCTCTTCCCCCCCCAGAGAGGTCTGGAGCAGCTGCCTGCTCTCAGCACCCAGTGCCCCAGGGGCCACGCTGCTCTGACTTTTCAGCTGGGAGGGCATCTAGTCCTGCCAACGGCTGGGTTTCAGGCACAGAACTGGGGAAGTGAACAGACCTGGCAGCTGTCCCTCCGGCAGATGCCTTCCCTGAGCCTCGGACTCACCTCTGGGAAAGGGGCTGATGACACCTGCAAATGTGGGTGTGGCCAGGGTCTCTGTGTGGGTCTCCCTGCCCCACTTGGCCTCCCTACCCATCCCCCATGGTTGCCGGGGAGCTGTGATTAGAATGAATCA